AAACAATATGGCTTAAAGAATTGCAAGGGTTTTTGTCAGAATTATGTACCAACTTTCATATAATATTTTATGTAGACAATATTTCCTTCTTAATGTAGTTCTGTTGCATACTTTATACAGACAAAAGCATTGTAAAAAAAAAAAAAGTAAATTACTTCCATAAATATTTTCTTGAGGATACATCCTTAGTTCTGCAAAATACTTAAGAAAACTCTTACCTCTGTTAGTATCCTAGTTGAGAGGAAGGCCCTTCTGAAAGCTTCCAAATTGTAAAAACGTTTCCCCAAAAAACAAACAATACTTTTTTAAAAAGGCCCTCAAATATATACAAAAAAGTTACTGCAAAGAGTTTCCAGATAAGATAACAATTCAGTATTACAAGAAATATTTGTAACCATTCAAAAATTTTAACATCTAAAAAGGTTTCCAAAATACACACATAGTATTAAAAAAAAATTGAAAGAAACTCTATGTCAAGTATAACTCAAGATAAATACACATCTGCAAGTAAAACTGTAAAATACTTCATACAGGGGTAAACATTTATATCAATCATCTATAGCTAGTAACTGCACACGATTGTCCCTTTGAAATTCATCCTAGAAACACAAACCATCATCCCTATATCTAAGACCTCAAACAGCCCTCTGAGCACTTCAGCGATATAGCAAACTGAATGGACAGCAGTGGTTTTGCAGATAGGAAAGAGATATGCGTTGAAGCCCAATCAGGAGAGGAGTCATACCTTAAAGAATGATATCTGTATGGGGATAGTTCTGTCGCATATTAAAATATGTTGGCAAAGGCAAGTGAAAATGTATGTCAATTCACTTAACTTGAAAACCACATGTTGATGATTTATTGCATGCTGTTCAGTGGACAACTCTTAGGGTCCGTACTAGGAAAAAATATTCTACGTGACTGCAGGACAAAGAGAACTAATCTATTAAGTCTGACATTTCCAAAAGCTGTTAACTTTCAAAGTTTTAAGTAGTTTTATTTTTGGAATAACTGCTAGAGCGTCACAGGTATGCAACCCATGTATAATCTAAATTTCACGTTACACAAAAAGGAAAAATATAGAGAATACTTCTCGGTATAAGGCTTCTCTCAGACGTATGAAACTTCACATTTTTAGTTTACAAACTAAGTCCCATATAATGGGGAACTTCAAAATACACCTATTTTCAGAAATAATATATACTCTTGTGTATTTATCTGAAATTAAAAAGCATCTTTGAGACAAAAAGGCCTCAAACTTTGCTTGTGTGGCATCGTTTTATGTTTGTGGTAGCAGCAGTAGAAACTGGCTAAAATGGGGCCATCCTTTCAGCTACAGGGATTTTGCTTCATCACCATTAAATGAAGTATTTGTAACAACTTAATTGGAGCTGCATCAAGTTAAAGCAGCTAAAAACCGACACCACACGTTTCAAATCTCTGATACTTTTCTCCAGAGCAGTGCCAATGCCAAGGACAAATTCTGTGTGAAATGTTCTGACCAACTGAGGAAACAAATCGTGTTTAGGATTTTTTTTTTTTTGAGGAATAAATGAAAGCTTAAAAATCTCCAAAGAGGTGGGGGGGAAAGAGGAAAAAAAACCCCACAACCCACACCCAAAGCATGCTGGATGGATTGGTAGGCCGGCAACTGCAAGCATCTGAGGTTAAAAATTGTTCTGCCAAATAAATGCACAGAGCCAAATTTCTATAAGGCGCACCCCCAGAGAGTAGTCCATTTAGGGAGGCATGTGTTGATTTTAAACTCTTTTTACTGATGCCTGCTTTGCTTCTGGTTAGACTGTCTAAAAATGCATTAAAGGATTACTAGCTGATGTTCTAAATGCAGAGCTGGTTAAAGAAAACACCAGAAAACATTCAGGAAAAATTTAAGATGTAAATCAACTCATCCTCTTTCTGTGAAAAAAAAAAAAAATCTGATTTTGTAAATTCTTTTCCAATTTGGAAAGAATTAGTTAGGTCTATAGGTGAATTACCTTTGGGGTGGAAAAAAAAATAAATTCCATTTTGTAGTAATCTTTTTTTTTTTCTTTGAAATAAAATCCAGAAATTTCCCTCTGCGCCATTAACTAAAAGCCAATAGTCATAAGCTATTGTACATTACTGATGTGGATGTGTTTTTCCAGCAACCCACAGACTATATACAGAACAGCGTGGAGCAAATGCCCGGGGCAGAACACTACAATCCTACAAGCAAACCTCACACAGGGAAGGACAGAGGAACATGAGCTTGGCGCTGCAGCCTTCCCCAGGCACCAGCTCGTTAGGGAGACAGGCTTCAGCCCTGTGCAGTGAGGACAGAAAACAAGGGGATGCCCCACAGGGCTGGGGGGAAGCCGGAGTTCAGCCCCACGGCTGCAGGGGAGGGGGGTTGTGGCTGCTCCCTGGGGACTTCCAGTCTCTGTCTCTCTCCCCACCCTATTTTTGGCAGGGATGGCAAGGCAAGCAGGCTGCTTCCAGCCCTGGGGGTGTCCAGGGCCTGATCGCAACCGCATCGCGCACCGGGACGGATTTGCGGTCTCTGAGTTAGGCAGTACAAACTACGGCAGTGTTGCTTCTTGCTTTTCCACATGTTTTGTTCTTTCTCTGCTTTTCCCCAACGTGAGTGCAGGGGAAAAATCTGTTCTCCTCTTTATTTCAAATATGCTAAATATTACTTAAATACTTTATTCGTCTGCTGCCTAGGAAAATATCAATGATATAAATATTGAACTTTTGTAAGTATGCTCTTAAAAATTATTATTCTACACCTATAGACATGAATTGCGTTAAAGTAGATCACGTGTATTTTTAGCACAACCTAAAAATCCATAAGCTAAAGGCATTGCCATGCAGTGTTGAATCTGGATAAACAATTTTTAACAGGGCACTGTCATGAAAAGAGCAACAGTTGCATATAAAGGTATCTTTTAGTTGGCTTTGTTCAGAACCTGGTGGTGTGCTTTGTACTGATGTAGCTACGTCAAGGGATGCGCTAGTTTACTGATCTAGTGGTTATCATAAGATGGAAATTATTTCAACAAAGAAAAAATGGTTGATAGCAACATCTTAGTTTCAGGGAGAAAAGAAAATAACATTTTCCCTTATCTTCGTTTAAGGGGGTTTCTCTACATGTCCTTTAGCTGGATGTGAAGCATCAAGGCGGTTTTTTTGTTCATGTGCTCTGGTAGATCTGGTTTAGCATGCGGCTCTTTCGATATTACTTGTGCTTAAAACAAAATGCTAAGATTGATACTAGAGGGCAGACTTTGAAAATCCACCCCTACAATTGCCTGTGCATTTTCTTATTCTTATTTGTATGGGCAGATTAGTATCTTTGTTTAGAGAACTTCTCTATGGTAATTTCTGAGTCTGTGCAAAAGAATGTTTCCGTTTGAAAATGCTAAAGCTGCATATCTTCACTGAGGCAACCAAACCGTTATTAGTGTTAACTTTCAATAATATTATTTTCAGCTATCTTAGTTGATGGAATTGCCAACTGGGCTAAACTAGTTTCAAAGTGATTAATTTAGTTACTACTATTTTAGCATTACATAGCACTTTTCATCCAGTGATGCCAAAACACTTATAGATACTAAGTAAGCCTCACAACTCTCCTGTGAGGTAGGTATACTAAATTATTATTATCCCCATTTTGCAGATGGGGAAACTGAGGTCCAGAAGGATCTTGTGACTTGCCCAAAATCAGGGAGCTAATGGGAGACCTGTGGTCAGAAGCCAGGAGTCCCAATGTTTATCCATTGCTCCGACCAGTAGGCTGGGTCACTTGGGCTACCCATAAATAATGGAGTTTGTGCGATATGTACATGACGCTATCACCAGAATAAGCAGAAACAATTTTGCCCAGCTTATAGCAAAGCAGGCAAATGGCAAATGTTTCACCCCTAGAGCAAATTTGTAAAGCGCTTCACATTTCCTATACGAATGCTTACTGTAAGTTTTCAATTTGCTTTACAAGAGCTTGACTGTACATACTGGTAACATCCTGCTCTAACTTGGCATAAACCCCCCTCTATCTTAGCGTTATGGAATTAATCTTCAAAACAAATTTAATTCACATCAAGTTATTTAAGATTTAAAGTGTTTCCACTAAGTATCATTCACACAAATCAATGCCTCTAAAGGAAACTTCAGAAAAATAGAAATCGTTGATTAAAAAAAACAACCAAATAAACACTATCCCTTTTTTAGTGAATAATGCAAGTGAATTGCTTGTTGTGTCCTATTGCCAATGTACTCTTATGTAGACATACAAACAAGATACTGTCTCGAGGTACTTTCAGTTCATGCTATTTCCCAATCCCTGATGAGATACTTCTTTGCAGCAGGATGCCCCTGCGCAAAGTTTTACCTGAAATGGGACAACAAAGTATAACTCCTACATTTCTCCTCAGGTATGTAGGTGTTTCAGGAAGACATAAAGAGGGAAGGCTATATAGAGTGTTCTTCATGCCTCAAAACACTCCTATGGCTAACAAGTTTTATAATATAACAAATTTGTACAGTAGAAAACAGGACATAAAAATATTTCCAGAAAGTGGCTTTAATACTATTATAAATAGTAGGTTTGGCTAGTCTTTCAATTAAGGGTTTTGGGGACAGTTTAAAGTTTTCTTGTCCCCTCCTTATTCACAGTAAATTTAGTGTGCTTGTGGCTTAATGAACAGCCCATACACATACAGGGACCATTTCAGCGGGATTATATGACAAGAGAAGGATCTGTTAGTAGCACAAGCAAGCCAATTTTGTCTCCTCCAAAAACTTCTTGGAATCCTTCCTGATGCTCTGGGTCCCATTATGGTATTCCCTTTCTACCCAACCCACACCCTCAAACAATTATTCACTTTTTTTTTGCCACATCCTGCAAAAATTATTTTGCCTAAGCCCTGCCCAAGCGATAGTAACAAATAGAAAAAGTCCAAGAAAGCAGCAGTGCAAAACTCTCAGACTTTTTAAAACTGGGATAAAAAAAAATAATCTTCCTTCTTTTATGCTGTGGCTTGTTTCATCTTCCTTTGTCTTGTCATATAATAAGAATAACGTTCATATTGTGGTTGAGTGCTTACAGTTAGTGGCCCCGCAGTTATTTAACCTCTGCAAAAGCCATATGTATAACATCTATTCCTTGTGAATATTATACCTTGCCTATTGAATAGTACTTCATTTCACCTGGCCGTGATATAGGGTCTGTGTAAACAATCAGCAGAACCTGCAACCATGGTTCTGTTGTGAACACTGTCAGTAACGCTTTATGGATGTGTTGTACATATATATAAATTTATATATATATGCATGTATACAGATCAGTCCTGTAAATACCTGTTGCATGCATGTGCACGCGCAGGAGAAATGTTACATTCTATTAATGGTAAGGCATATTATTAGATAGGCAATATTGGCAATTATTTTAGCTTTTATCTTGATTTGTTGTGTTGCTGTTGATCACGTGCTGCCAGAGGATCTTTAAGGATGATGGGGATGGGAAGAGGCCACTTCGAAGGTTTATTGCACACGGCGGCAGTAGTAGCCCAAAACTTTGCACTTCTCACACAGATGCTGGGGATGCTCTTTGCTCTGATCAGAAACATCCAGGCCATCCGGCTTTTCCAGGGGTCTCTGCAGTGAAGGGAAGGAAATCAGATTAAATCCAAGGTTTTGTCACTGTTACTCTTTCCTATGCCTGTGAAGCCTGCTTTTATGCTTTACTGAGCTTTCTCCCAGTGATTATAAAGGTACTGTGTTTCTTTCCTGAAGGGATGAAATAGTTTTTCAGCTCTGCGTTGGTTCGGAGTGGCCTCGCAACTGAACGCCATTCCTCTTCTTAAAGGTGGTGGTAACTTTGTTGTAGACAAATTACTAAAAGACTGAATTGAGGACTATATTTATAAAAGCAGTAACACAGAAGAGTTTATTCTCTTGGCTCCAGTAAACTGAGATGTCCCAAAGGCATTAACACCTCAAGCATGGGAATCCCATTACCCAGCAATGCCAGCAGGGGTTACCAATGTTAGAATTAGCTGCTACAACAAGAAAACTGTCTTAACCATGCACAGATATTACATAGCTAAATGAGGTTTTCCCAGTACTCAGTCCCATATTTCTGAGGCTGAAATTTTTGAAGTAGAGCAGCTGCAAAGCTATTAATCAAAAAAACCCAACAACCAAAATCCCACAAAAAACCCACCCCAAACCAAAACCCCCAGCCTCACAACACAACCCTTTGCCCTGAACTTGAGTGATAAATTGACTATGTATTTTTAATAATATTTGTGCAATCATAGGGTTGGAGGCATATTTGGCTAAACAAGGGAACGAAACTGCTTTGTTTTTAGTAGATCTTTGTTCTTTAGTTTTCCATGACATACAAGGGTTTCACAATCATTCTGAAAATAAACCACCTATGTTAAATATTGCCATAAGTTTGTTTGGAAAGTCTAATAGTTAGAGAGGTGATAGAGATGTGAGGTAGAATATCATAAAGTACACCATTTGTTTGAAAAAACCCAACAAAATTCCCTAACCTGTAATTTCTCTGTTTTTGTGAAATGTACCTGAAAGAGTATTTCATTGCACAGTGCCTTCCCATGAAGACAGTGGTCGTTCCATGGGACTGTGGCAGAGACAGCACATGGTGTGAATTCTGAAAACAACCCATAAGCTTCTCACTGTTCTCACAGGGATACTAGGCTCTTGCTTATCTCTTCAAAATACGAAGCAGAGGGTGGATAAATATAAATTACAAAATTATGGCCGTTTATCTTTTCACACCTTTCCTAAATCCTAAAGGCTTTCCTTTAGCTGTAAAATCTTAAAGTGCACCTGATGATCTAAGTTTTCGTTTATAAGTTCTTCCTTCCAAAGCCACCCACCTGAGACCCTGTGGATAAGAAGAAAAGAGAGACTCCAAGCTTGCTTTTTTTGGCTATGTAGCACTGCAAGAACAGCTCATAATCCAGAGAACAGAAGAGTTTATTAGCTCTAAGTAGCTAAAACGAGACAAAATATATTCTATTATCCTGAACAAACAATTTCTGTGAATTTTTGCTTGGTTGTATTGGATTATAAGTGCAACACTCTTAGTATATTGCATGGCTAGTAAAAACAATGTATGGGAGTAATTCAGTGGTGATGGTTCGTTACTGATTCAATGCTCTTATCCATATTTCCTGAAGTTTTGTCTGTCCTGGCCCATATATTACATGTCTTTGAGTTTAACTTCATTTACAATTTAATTGCAAATTGGATTTCCTGCATCAGGTAGGGGATAAGGAATGTAGATGGACCCCACATCTCCTCTAAATCCTTTAACCTCCCCCTGCAACCCCACTGAGCTTTGGATGACTTGCTGGGAAGTCAGTATGTTAGGATTTGAGATCAAAACCAGCAATTCTCTTTCTGGGCTTGCAACCCAACCACTAGTGCAGGCAGTGCTTCTGCCAGAGCACAGACAAGTTTATTTGATCAGAAATACTGCCCTTCCACCTCTTCTGCCATTTATTCCACCAACATCTGCCCACAAATTGTCTTCAAGAACTTGCATTACATAAATGCAGTCAAAGATGATGCTCACGTTCAGGAATCCCAGGAGTTAATTTATGTTCCTCAACAGAGAATTTGAGAGTTTTGAAATGCTACACTTAGAACAGGCTATTTGACTCAGCTCTGATTGCTTCTACATGCTAGCTGTGCTCTGATTAAAGAGAAAAAATACAGCAGTTATCATGTTTATTGATATAAGCCAGATTTTTTTTTAATACGCAAGGCCTTGGGAATAATTTTTCCTGGAAATAGTGCAAAGGACATTGGGAATGCCTTGAAGTGCCAAGAGTTTTTGGACGGTTTTCAGAAACAATAGCTCTCCGTGGTTTGCTTTCCCCCTGCGTTGATTGAGCTCAGCTTTTTGGCCTGCAAAGCATTTCGATTTCAGAAATGTTATTGTTACCAGCGTGTTACGACACAGGCTGGGGAGAGAGGGGTTACAAACGCAGGAAAGCAGGTTGCCAAGGGCCAGCTGGAAGAAGAGGCGCTGAGCGGAGCCTGGTTTCTGGTGAGGCGGTGGAGGGCCGAGGCTTCGAAACTGGTACTGTGCTTGCGTGGTTTGTGTCCCAAGAACACTGCGATCCAACTTTTGCATAAAATGAAGTCCCAGCTTATCTCCGTTTGCTGTTTTCTCTTTATGAATTTCTCGTAAGGCAAAAAAAACCCCACCCTTTAAACACCCTGAGAAGCAACTATTCTTGTCCTGCTGCTGTTTGTCTGTTTCTAATTGCGAAGGGCTTTAAAGTAACAACCTTTCACCCTTGCAACCTTTCTTACGCCATGCTAAAAGGGCAGGACACTAGACAGCGCAAGAGCTGCGTGTCCATCAAGGTTTGGACTTCCTTGGCACCTTGGAGAATTCTCACCAGCTTTGGCGTGGTGGAAGCAGACGGGAAGGAGAAGATGCCGACGCAAGAGGGGTGCGATAGGGTCAGGCTGCCGCACACTGTGTGTTAGTTTTGGGGATTGCCTGAATTGTGCAGGAGATGCGGATAGCTGAGGAGGCTGCAAGAGTTCTGTGCTGCTGCTGAGAGGCTGGTAGCGTGAAACTCAGCCATGCCTTTGGAGAGGGTGTGGAGAAGGGGATAGGCTATTTGGCTGAAAAAATAATTCCTTGCCTTAGAAAGAGGTGAAATGGAGCTTGTAAAACAACAGAAAATCCTGCTATGTTTCTCTGGGAAAGGTATGCCTTTTTCCATTAAATGGAGAGTTTAAATATAATACTTCAATTTTCACTGTCTTTTTCTAAATGCAAGCATCCAGGATTTAGCAGTCCATATTTTCAGTAAAAACTACAGGGATGGGCACTCTTACGTTCTTCATTTTTGTGCACCTTTCTTTAATTTTCTCCTGGTAGTTGCTGGGTGGAAATAATCTTGTGCAGCTCCACCAGGAAAGCATTTGATGGTAGTGACTGAAGCTGTTGCCTCAGGGAATGAAGCTGAAATAAATTTGAATTTCTATAGGAAATCCTGTCCTGTAAATTAACTTTTGATTGTGAACTATTGCTGTCCCAGTCTACATGTACTGAATGAACTCTACATTCCCCACAAGTCAGTTAAAAACCCCAAACCCTCAAAACAAAAAGCTTGCCCTTATGAAGTGTTAGGTGTCAGAGAAAATGTCATTAGGACACCCTTGAGGAGAACTGCTTCCACAAAGAAGCAGAATGGAATAATGTGGCTGCTTATGTTTGTATTTAGAAGACTGAATATTTATTTTTTTTTTCTGTAGAATGGAACAAATTGATTCTACCACTGATGGATAAAGGATTGCATCAAAATTCAAATGTAAGAAAACATTTATAATTTTCTGGAGTCATTACCTCAAGTCTTAAAGGAGCAAATAAGATGATTAAATGACAGATTAGATATCTGAATAGAAATGGATTCTACAACCATAACTGGCAGGATAATTGTGAGGTTAACAGTGTTAAGGAGCTATAGCTAGCTATGCTTCCCTCAAGACACACATGCTATCATGAATTCATAAATTTTTAGTCCAATAAAAAATTATGCACTGGGGAAAAAGGATGAAATGCAATGTGCATGCTTGAGGAGCAGACTTTCCGCTTTTCTGTCTGCCAGGGGGGAACAGGGATGTTAACGAGGCCCTCAATTGTTACTGTGGACCACGAGAGGCAGTGATAAGATGGTGGCAGAGAGAGCAAAGCAGCCTGTGTCAGCAGCATGCCTCTGGGACGGGCCAGATAGGAATTAATAACTGCATGAACTAAATGGTGAAAATCTCTTTTTAGAGGTCAGAGAAGCACCAGTCTGGGGTGATCTGTATTCCCACTGCTGGAGCACACAAGTGCGGGCATGCTGGGGAGAGTTTATTAAATCTAAAGAGTCAAAAGATCACACTTGTAGGCCTGAAACCTGAAAAGCTTATTGAGCCTCAGTGCTCAGACCCATCCTTCCCCACACTGAGAGAAGAGAGGTGGCTGTGGATGCACCCAGGTATGGGAATTGCGATGGGACCACTCCATTGCCCATGGAAGTAATAGCTTGGATATCATGAAGAATTTATTTACATACTGAATTATTTCCAGTCCAACATTAAATTCCTGACAGCTGGAAGAAAATAGTGTCCAAGAGGACAAGTCGGTCACCAGATGGCTGGTTCTGCACCAGCGCAACAGCTGTCATCACAAACAGCACTGGAGTTAGCCACAAAGTCAGAGAAGCAGCCTTGATAAGAGGCCAGCCAGGAAGCAGCCACAGGCACAGATGTTGCCGCTGTAGCGGGCAGGGGAAGAAAATGGGAATTCAAAGCTTGGCATCTGGGCTGTCACAGTGCCAAGAATGCCGGGGAATGGCTGTAAGGGCTGGCTCCATTGCTGGAGCAGGGTAAGAAGGAGCATAAACAACTACAAAATCCAAATTCCTTGGAAGAGTAAGAGGTAGGCTTAAGTCCCACATGAGACTTCTGTTTGTGTTTAGAGTAGCTAAACTAACTACCCAGAAAATGGCTTTTGAAATAGCCACAGAGCAGCTTTGTCAGGGTAGTTCTTTGGTCTCCTCTTTGTCAGTAAGCCTTGGGCTCAACTGGCCTCCAATTTTTGCCACATGTCC